GGGCAGCCCGTCCTTCCTTTTTTTTTTTTTCTATTCGCCTCTTTCTGTGTGTTTTGTTTGTTTGTTCCCCTATAACAGGTCAAAATGTTAACGCTTTTGATAAATCAGTGTTTTCACAGCGGAGCCGTGTAGGAAGGCGGGAGTGCGTAATGAGGGTTCATTCATTCTTTCATTCAACAGGTTGCAGCTTCAGCTATTCATTACGTATTACTTGAGTAACTGATATTACAGGTATTGCTTGCTAATATGGAAGGTACACGATTCAAGACTCCGAAGAGATGAGAGTTTAAAGGCCAATCTGGCACGTGTATACGGACAATTTGATGACGCATTTGTGCAATGCACTACAGAAGAAGGAACGTCCGAAGCAGCTTGGCAACGTGTAAAATAGGTAGAAAAAGATGTCCTAACTGAAAAGTGTGGTAAGAGGTGCCTTCATTGAAGCTGAAATTGCTAGACTTCTGTGTATTCCTTCAAGGAATGCCTACAGATTCATTGTGAGGGAGAATGATTGAACCCACCCCAAACAGGAATCAATTCATACATAAGGACCCAGTGTTTAGCTCACTGTGTTGTTAAGAAACAACTGAGAAAGACAACCTATGTGAGACCTGGGACTTGACTTCTCTATCCAGCCTTAAAAACTAGGACCATCTCGCTGGTTTCTCACAACGCCCCACTGCTAGATAGAAAGGCCTTCAGCCAACCCTAGGTTTGGTATAGCTACCAAACTTACACAAAGCAAACCAAATCAGTGTTTTGTTTTCAAAATATGCTTTTCTCTGGACTGCAAGAAGATAAAGACTGCTTGACAAATCCCTTTACTGATGAAATCCTTGGGCAAACACTTGCATGGGTATAATGCTACTGCTGAAATGCTACATGAGTTTTTGCAGGCATTTTAAGTTATTCCAGCATGGTGAAGTCTAATGGTCTCTTTCCCACTTCTCCTTTTTCTACAGCTTTAAAGTGTGATGCCCTGCCCATTGGTTAGATTTGAAAATCTACAATAAATTTTTTTTTTTAATTTGTTTCCTGTATTCTCAGTATAATGAAAATGTTTGATGAAGTTTAGGAAGCATTGATCTGTGTTGAAGCAACACAGCTTGTAAGAGCAATAAAAAAAGTTGTCATATCACAGTTATGTCACAATGTAAGAAACAGTAGTCTCTCAGAGATAGGAGAGCTGATTCCTATCAGCTGGTTGGCTTGTTGCCTCTATAAAACCACTAAATTTGAATTTGTAAATTCTTTCTAACTCTTTGTTCAGGGATACCAGACAAACAACTTGTGATTTCAGTACTAAGTGTTGAATTCCTAAATATTTAAAGCTGGAAGGGATTAGATATATGGATAAGTCAGTATTCAGTGAGAAGTGAATTCAACTTAATCACTTATAGATTAATAAACCAAATTTCAGAAAATGAAAATAACCTCCTAGTCTTTTAGTTGGAAGTCATGCCTTCTAATTGTATTTCAAAGTAATTTTTACCTCATTTTTCCTTCTCTTAATATTACTCTGATTTGCTCTTCTCTATTAAATGGGTTTGCCTTTCTCTCCTGTAACTGCCTTATAGTTAAGCTTTCAAATAACTAAGACCATAATAGACCATACAGTTCCACCAGTTACTGGAGTTACCAATCACAAATTTCTTTTTCTTATGAAATAGACTTCTGGTTTCAGGCCAGTTTCCCTTCTCGTGACCTTATATACCACCCCTTTAGTGACTAACTTCTGACATTACGCTTTTTGTAGGATTATTGGCCTTTACCAGACAGGAGGATCAGCCTGGATTCCCAGGCTTTCTTGGTCCAAACTACCCCACTGTCACCTGATGTCAGCCTCTGATGTTCCATGTATAATTAATGTGGTCACCCTGGTAACCAAATCCTAATTGAAAGGTGAGGTCACAGGGAGTGTCCATGTGCTGGAGTT